AAATATCTTTTAATAGAACTTGTTAGACACAAAAAGTGCGAATGTATGCACGGAAACTACACACCTTTAAAAACGGTGTCAACACATTTATTATTACACAAGTAATTTTCTATGTCTTGCAAAGTGCAAGCTTTATTTCATTACAGTTCGTATAACTTATGTATTATGCATCACTTGCATGTGCCTTTATGCGTATGTTCCCTATAATTTAACTGTACTTTTAACATTCGGGTTACCCAACCTTGATCCAGTTGACGTTACATGAACATTCTAACAACTATAGTGTTCAACCCACTAAACCGCTCTTATTAACGGAGGTATAATATCATCGATTCAACGATATCCGACAGGATGGATATGAATATCCACGGATATTGGAAGTGATATTACTATTATCTACAAAAGATTCCAAGGATTTGAAAAAGATATTACGTGAATAAATCGAACTTAAGTGTCTGTATAATAATCGTACAATTAATAAATAAATTAATTTAACAGGATGGATTTGGTGGATTGAATACTGTAGATATTAGAACGTAAAAGAATTACTCTATGGGAGAAAAATGATAAAACTGAAAGAAAAATGATTTTTATGAAGAAAAAATTTCTTCTATTTGCTTTTGAGAAAAATTCAAAAAATGGAAAAATTAATAGATGATATCTTTTGAAACTTAAATGTTTTTAACGCTTTTATGTATCATGCTTCATTAAAAAGTTGTACAGTTATTTAAATATATATATAAAGAAAATGTACCATTCTACTTAGAGTTACAACTTGTTCAATAAAAATTGAATGGTTTCGCTTTAAATGCAACTCGAAAATATATTACGTGATGCAGCCGTTGCTTTTCTTCTTTTCATATTTTCTATCGCTTTTTGTTGAGCAACGGTACAATGTGCAATTTTGTAGTGAACACACGGCGCACGTTGAAACTACGCCGCGCACCTGTAGACAATATTGAAACCGACCAACAGTTATTGCCGATCAAAGTCTTCCGTGGATCAATCTATTTCCTGTAAGACATGTAATTTCAGTTGAAAAAATAAGTTAAGACAAACAGAAATGCGTAACAGTTTTATATTTATCTATAGAAACCATAAGTACCCTATATTTGTATATATTATTGTAGACTGAGCAACATTGTTGATATTATCCCATTTGAAAACTTTATATCATCTAAATACCACTAGATGAGAATTCTATTTACAAATTACGTACAAGAATTAATAGTATGAATTAATACGATATTATTTTGTCTGATTTTGTATATTATTTCCAGAAAAATAATATATTCTTTATGCCTACTTTTTGTGTATGCAATAAAAAATCACGCTAGATAAACTTTTATAAAAAATCTAATTTTACTTTATTTATTTTCATTTTAAAGAATTTAATTATATTTTTCTGTTTTTTAATCTTAATTATTTCAAGCTATTGCTTTTTGAAAAAATCTTTTAACAATGATTTAACTTATTTATTTATTTATTCATCCATTATATCAAGTTCTAAAACAGGTTATTATTATTTTTTTAAGTGGGGAGATAGATGTAAAATCACGGGTAAACACCGATAACATTGGACGAAGTGATTTCAAGCCGGAGATTCATCTTTCGCAACGAAGCATAAAATTTATAACAGCGCTTTTCCACTGCTAGCCAAATTGATATAGGAATGAGTTTTAATCCCAAACCACCGTCGAACCCCTGCGGTGACGGTGTATCCTGTTTCATACCGGACGGATTTTTGTTTTGGTAGAAAAGCGCATATTGACGTCAGTATTCGAACGAAACCAATTTGGCTTTCACCACACCATTATCTAATTACAACGCTTTTTTGTTCTCGCACGTCAGTCGTAAATAGAAATTTATTGAGGCGATTGATTGCACTTTTAGTTTTGTTTTTAAGAATTTTTAAGATTTAAAAGCACAAATATGAGAGATAAAATGCTTTTTTGCGATTATCTTAAGATAGTCGACAATGATAAGAAATAGATATTCTTTAACAGAAACATACTTAAATATAGCGTTATGAGAAATTAATATTTTAACATGGAAATTAATTGTTCCAACAAAAAAATCCAACTAATGGATGAAATAATATAACATGTAGCGAAAAAATATAGTTACTTGGCGGGAGCCGCTACCGCGATTTCTGATGATTGAAAACTTAAAATATTATGATTTGCATGTAACTGACATATTATTCTATTAAGTTATATATAATAAGTACGTGATGTACTTTGACAAGATGTAATTTTAATTATATCAAATTGATTTACAATATTATTTTATTTGAAGTTGCAATTATATTATTATCATTTCTAAAAGCACTATTTACTTACATTGCATTTGCCATAAAATATTAATTCTTAATATTATTAAGATATTATCAAGACAGTTACTCATAATAATTATTTCCTCTTTTTAACGTTTGGAAGGAGAGTGCAAGATTTCTATAAATTATTAAACTTATTTTGATAAAAATCAGGGAAAAAAATAATACAAATAAATTATTTCTCTAAAAATTATAAAGTAATTTTGAAAGAAAACCGAAAGATTGTCATTAAAACTCAAAACTGTTAAAGTAAATTTATTCAATTCTCTATACCTGTTACATTAAAAAGAAAAACTGGAAGCTCAGCTAAAGTTTCGCCAAACGACAACATTTCGCGCAACGCGAGTGTTTGAACATTGTGGATACATTTTTTGTTCGGCGCACCCCCGCGAACGGGTCCGCAGATGCGAAAACTTGAAACTTTCCCCGACGGCTTTGTCGGATTTTGACAAACGCGTTCGGGTAAAGTTACGAAAAGTTCACCGACGTGAAAGACGACGGTTGGACAGGTGGCTCCGTACGGTGAGATTTCCTTATGCTTGGAGCGCAAGCGTCAAATCAGTAGGGACGAGTGTTTTATGGGCGCATATGTTCGCGATACAGCAAACAGATGTATTCACGAAACTCTTTCTCTGTCTCACATAATAGACTTAAGGCACTAGTAACTTTATTGATTTTAATTCTCGTTGCCGTGTAATATGCTGCCATATAATTGAATTTTTCATGCATTACGATTTTCCGATTGTGTATCTTAATAATGTTATCTCGTTAAAGACGTAATCGACTTAAATTAAATATGCATATTACAGATAATTTACTATATCGTTTACACGCATTTAAATTATGAAGATATTTCAATTAATATGAATAAATCAGATAAATGATAAATCAGAAAATATGAATAATTAGATAAAAGTGGAGTGAATACTATTTGTGAAGAAGAAGCGAGAGCATATATCATATTTCGTATACGTAAAGATTATTATACATTTTGTACAATATTTTGCTTTTTGCTAGAAAATAATTTTCCAATATATTTATGTTTTATTTTTTAAATATATTTAAAAATATATCTCGTTTGTGCAAGCTTCAAAACCAGGTATGAGTATTTCAGCCATTTAAATAAAATATAAAGATTTGTTAAGTATAAAGCTTAAATGTAAAACCTTTTTTTTATTTACATATCTTTAAAGCTTTTCGATTTATTATAATTGTCGAAGTCTTCTTCAAATTTCGAGTGTAACACTTTGATGGTATAAATCACTTTTTTATTCATATCTCCTTAAAGCGAATTCTTATCTCAACGAATAAGTGCAAAAAATTCGCCTCTTTTCTTTCCGTGTAATTCAATATGTATGTAAAGCCGTCATATACAGGGCTCGTGCAAACTACGGCATCAGCCCTGATCCACCCCTACTAGTTCCAGTGGAGTAGACCGTGTCGAGGGCGCCTACCGCGCGGCAACCCTCCGGTGCTCAGTGGCTGCGCTTCCTCCGCATCAGGCGTTACGCACGCGTCTCGCATCTCCGTGATCCGTGTGTGTTGTGCATCTTCAGTACTGGCGGATAATCCCGCGAGTTTTTTTTTCGCGCGGTGACAAAAGAAAAGGGGGGGTCCCGATTCGAGTGTGTATATCGCGATCTATCGCGCCGCGAGCGTTTCCCGCTCGATCGCGCGCGCATTGCACCCTCGCGACCTTCCCGACCCTTCGATCATTTCTTCACGTCGTCATCGTCATCATCGCTTAACGCAGTTAGTATCGCGTTTTGTCTTTGTTATCGGTGCGTCTTCTAGACTTTATGACAGTCAGAAATGAAGACTTCAGCGACGCGTGACTGCCGTTACACGCTGAACGAAATAGATCGCGCTCCTCATGATGATCTGTATTAATTATATTGTGAATATATAAGTTTAAAAGCGAAACCCGCCAAAAAATTTTCTTTAAAATTACAGAACGCTAAATTTCAGCGTTTAACCGGAAATGTTTATCGATGATTTGTAAGATAATTCTAAGGTTAGATTTGTCAACGCGTTTCTTTTCATGCAAGTGACATTTTGAGTAAATGTGTTTTATTAAATGTTAACTTAAAAAAAAATATTTCTTTGAAAATAACGTTTTTGCAGTGTTATAAAAATTCGCATTTGCGATCATTGTGAAATAATGAATGCATCGAATGCGATCCAACATTAGATTTGCCTGTTATACGTGCAACGAGTCGCACGATCGAAATGCTATTTATTTTTCATCGAGCTATCGATTTTTTTTTCACAAAAACCCTACTCTCTCAAATATTCATTATTTGCATCAATTACGCGTGATGTTTCACGTATGCGACATAATTGCTCGTGTGTCGTCAAAGCCTCCGATATGAACTTGCATTGTAAAATTGTGATACAGTCGATAGATTTTTAATAACGAAATGTATACATTTTCTGTGGATATTCTTCGTAGTACAATCAACTTTTGTTAACATTTCTGGAATTAAAAAATAGCAATCTACTTGATTTTGAAAAATGTAACTTTTATTATGTTATCTGCAGCATTCAGAATCGCTTTCTTGCTAAATTACAAGAGAAATTGAATTGAGCCAAATGTCAGATAGGACAATTGAACAAAACATAGAACCTGTCGGCTTGGAGCATCAGCTTCATCCACATGATGGTGTCCCTTACGTCAGACTGGACCGAGGTCATATTTACTGACCTACCTCTTTTTGACCTCATTTATCGCGCTGTAGATATATGTATAACGGCGCGGTCACGTCCATGTATGATTCAAGACATTGTATTTTATCCCGGTGAATTAATCATATTGTGCCTTGGCAATTAAATGCGACGATGTATTAAAAAAAAAGAGAACTCGTTAACCTTTCAATTATTCTTCTAATTATTCTTCCAATTATTTTCTCGAATATGTAACGCGTATGTATACATATAAGATCGTTTCGGGGAGAAAGAATTATTTATTTATGCATGTCCAATATACATACATCTGAGACGCATGTTTAGTTATTTCTAAATCTATTTTTGAATATTCACAATTATTTTTTAGAAATTTATTTGATAATATTGTCAGAATTTTGTTAGGAAAATACGTTCCTCCTTTTACGATCGTCATGATGAGCGCTCATTGAAAATTGTTTCTACAATTTAGCTCCTGCAATTTCCCGTACAGATCTCGCGCAGCGTTTGTGTCACTCGTGAATGCAAATGTTTGATAAAGACAAACGAAAGTGCATGTGATTTTTGATTAGCGCTTCAGATTTTTGATTATCATCTTCGTCGTTCGCGGGAATGTCTGGAAAAATTTTACGAGAGAACACGACGGAGGATAACACGGTTATCCGAAATCTCCGATAACCGGACGAATCTCTATTCATTCCAGGTGGAAGGATATCTAGTGATTGAGAGTGCGCGATCGCGAGAAGAACCACGCTCGTCGTCGTCGGGTCAATCACGAAACGCTTTTCATTTTTCTCCGTTCACATTTTTCCCGCGCATCTCGCGGGATTTTCCCCGGTGACATCAAAGAGACCACCGTTCTCCATCGGGATTTCGTTACGTCGAAGGTGAGCAACTTTCCTGCAGGAAAAGCCGTAACCGTACCGCTTTAACTTTAAATCAAATTTTACAGAAACAGCCAATTCAGCTGAAAATCGACGCGATCGACGTGTCATGGCAGTTGACTTTAATTTCTTTTAATACTTGCTTGCAATTGCATGAAAGTGGTCATACCTTTTTCTATCGTTACAAAAAAAAACTCATGGCCTTTATTCCTGTATTAAAATGTCTTTCTTTACTGACTTATTTTATATATATATATATAGACTTCAAAATTTAATATCATTACTGTGTAGAAATTTAATTCTACAATAATAAAATTTTGTAAAGGAGAGAGAAGAGAGAAAGTATCTTGTATAGAATATCAGGCCATATCTCTTTGTAATGCAATCCATTTTCATAATTACAAACGTGTTTCAAATTGAAATAATAACTGCAATGCCAACGCAAATTATTTTACAAATATGTTTTTGAATATGGCTGTTTTTGTAATATTTCGAGGAAGGGTATGAAGCAATATAGAAATTGACTACGATATATAAAATTGTTGTTTCATTTCGTTCCTTCTATCTATACAAGCAATCGTGTCGCTTTCATATACATAATCATCACAGCTAACGAGCGAAATGAAAATTTAAGTATTTCCGAAGGCGTCGGTGTATTCGGAGGTCAGGGAAGTCAATCATAAGCCGTCTGTACGTGATAAGGTCTTGCAAACACGACGAAACATTCTGACGCTCATACGCGGTATACATTTTCCATAATACGTTACCATTTGTCAGAGCGCGCACTTAGCACGTGCCTCGGAATAGTTATCGATTGTCATTTACCTAAATTACGAGCTTTTTATGTAGGCCGATAAGGTCAGATGTGACTTTTCACAGCTATAGCCGGGTGCCATATCGCAGCCAAGATGTGTCATCAGTTTTTCTCTTTTTGCTCACCGGTTATATCACGATAAAGCACACAAAATCGCCGCGATTGGATACGCATCTGTGCGTATCGTAATGTACAAACCGGTTTTTTTTTCTTCTTTCTTTTCAATATACCGATAAATTACATTTGTCATGCTCGCGATACATCACGAGTCGTGTAAATCGATAAGTCCAAATATATCAAAATGAAATGCTGGCAAGACAATTTCAGTAACTCATAATAGAGTAATTCAGAATGATACGAAATCTCAACAAAATTACCTGCTGTCGCGAAATTGTTTGCATTATATCGTAAATAAGAAATGGAGGACATAAATTCTGCTTTTTTCTATACGCACATATAACAAATGTTAGCAGAACTCGATTTATTGCAAATTCTAATTAGTCCTTGTTATAATCGAAATTTTATATAAATTGACGTTTTCGCATACACATTCTGTATTACTAATTATTTTATAATATTTCATAAAATTAATCCGATATTATTAGTATTATTACACTCTCTCTATTACCAATCATGCATCTCTTTAATTGCAATATTAAATTTATCAGAGCACATATCAGATAAGAATTATACGTGAAGAATATATATTGAATTTACTACTTCAAAATATTAACACTAACTACGTTAATGGAATGTAATTAATAAACATATATATATCTTAGTAATTAATATATGTACATGCGCGTGTATCTTGGTAACTTCATCTTGTTATACTGGCGCTGTGCTAAGTTACTTATGTAAATATTTTCTTCTCTCTTGGTCTCTTCTAAGATTATTAGACTCATCATATTTCTTCGAAGATCATTGAGTCAAGTATGACTCTTCTTAATTATGTAGCGCGTTTATCGTCACGTTCAAAAGAATACAGTTGGTCGGAGACATCGCCCGCGGGCGTTGCTCAAGAATTCAATTAAACCACATCGGCGCGTTCGAGTTTTACTCACGCGAGATGCAAATTGCTTCGCTACACTTAATAAATATATGTCCCAGCGCAGTTCCGCGATCGCCAGCCGCGTCGAGCCGCCTATAGCTGCGCCTGTGTGAGCACGATCGATGCCTCCGCCGCAAATATTAATTTATTACTCGCGCATCTCGAGCGGCGTAAGTGTTTTTCTCTATCGCCGCACGGCGGGATAACAGGTTGCGCGATTTTATCGATGGCCTAATTGAAAGCGCGCACTGCACCTCGGGCGTAGATGCGCGCTCGGCACGAGTCGCGGCATTCAACGATTTATCACGTGTCAATACATATCCGTATACCTACTGCCTACCGCCATCAGTCCGAGGAACGCTTATACGATCCAAACTATTTGCAAGGCTAATGTCCGACGGATGAACCGCCGTTTATTAAGCACGTCTGTGGAAATCGCCGCGGGATGAATATGAAACGCATTCGCGCGCGCTGAATACCTTACGGATCGCCTCACTGCGAGCGTTTACAAACTCAATTAACTTCGCGCAAGATTGGCTACCATAGGTATACCGGCAAAAGTCCGAAGAAAACGAGTCGCGCGAGATCGAGCCGGCCGATCGAGAGTGCACTACTCTCTGGGCAACAGTAGGAATTTATACTTGGAGATTATGAATAATAAGTGACTTATTATGCAATTTAGCGCGGTATTAAGGTACCAAATATACCGTTCGTTGGGTATAATCAAATTCCGATAGTTCGACGGAAATAGTAAAATGGTGAATGGGAGTCAAATTTTTAAGATGTCGTCTGACTTTCGATCGATCGATACAAATAAGACGTATTCGTGACCGCTATTGGCGGCAGAAATGTATTTTGACACATCAATGTACACAATGTACCAAAATACATTGGGCATCTAATTTATTTCGCATTGCGGAGGACAGACTAGACATAGGTGATGTACAGTTAAAACTAACTTGCGCATTACTAATCTTTGCGCGCGATACGATCGCACGATTCGAACCCATTGACTCCATTCGCGATTAGCTTCAACGATATCTCAAACCTTTGCACGCGAAAAGGAGTTATATAAATTGCCGTTTCATGCATATGAGACACGTAGGTATGCGGTAAAATCGCAACTTAACTTCGTCACAGGTAAATTAGATTAGGCGTGTTTCGCGTTATGGTTTCGTTTTACAATAATGCACTTCACTGTGCTCTCTATAATACCGAATGCTCGAGCCAATAGGATTATCCCGATTGATTGCGTTAGAAAAACAGATACGCTCTTTAAAATATTACCGTATATTTTCGTAATCGGATCGATAGCGAAATACCACGCGACTGCATCATCAAACATGCATCGCTTTAATTTCTTTCGTATTTCTAATTACGTTCTGTTACTTCAGCAATTACTCTCAATTTAAGGTTTATCTTGCTGTTTCTATTTTAAGGCAGTTTTAGCGTAAATTGGAAGAATAACTGGATTCCGGATAATTTTAGTTAACTCGCGAATAAAAATTGCAAATTGTCGCAGATAAAATTATTCTTCTTTGATTTACAGGATATCCCAAAGTTATATGACCAAACTTTGTGTAGAGGATTGATAAACTGAGAGAAATAATCCTTTAGAGATATGCTCGTTTTTGCTTCGTTTTGCAGAAAATCGCCAAGAGATAAAACGTAATTTTCATTTTTGTATTTATTTATTCGTTTACACTTATTTATTTACGTTGAGATACCCTGTATAATGCGAAACATATATATAAATACAAAATTTAATATTAATTTATATTTAGTATGTATAACATAATTAATTCATATATATATATTATATATATATATATA